AGCCTTCACCGACTATTTCGGCGTCCTATTCGGGTGGGTGGTCAGAGACATAGACATTCTCTATTTATTCCTAATGGAGACATTCTATTTATATCTATATAAACCTATGTATTCCATCCTGGTCTCTCAGTCCAGGCCCAAATTCCCCTCATAAAAAATTATATCACTCTGACACACACACTAAAGGGACACTTTTTAATCAGAGTATTGCATCAGGTCAATTAAACTCCTGGGATATTGATCAGATCAGTTAAGTAGCAGAGGGGGTTGTTAATCAGTTTCAGCTGCTTTGGTGTTAATGAAATTAACAACAACAGGTGCACTAGATGGGCAACAATGAGACGACCTCCAAAACAGGAATGGTTTTACAGGTGGAAGACACTGACATCTTTTTCCCTACTCATCTTTTCTGACTGTTTTTCACTAGTTTTGCATTTGGCTAGATTCAGTGTCACTACTGGTAGCATGAGGCGATACCTGGAGGTATCCTATAGAGGTTGCACATGCATGCCAACTCCTCCAGGGTGGCACATCAATACGTGCCATTGCCAGAAGGTTTGCGGTGTCTCCAGCACAGTCTCAAGAGCATGGAGGAGATTCCAGGACACACGCAGTTACTCTAGGAGAGTTGGATAGGGCCGTAGAAGGTCCTTAACCCATCAGCAGGACCAGTATCTGCTCCTTTGTTCAAGGAGGAACAGGATGAGCACTGCCAGAGCCCTACAAAATGGCCTCTAGCAGGCCACTGGTATGAATGTCTCTGACCAAAGAATCAAACAGACTTCATGAGGGTGGCCTGAGGGCCCGGCGTCCTCTAGTGGGCCTGTGCTCACTGCTCGGCACCGTGGAGGTCGATTGGCATTAGCCGTTGACCAGAATTGGCAGGTCCTCCACTGGCGTCCTGCGCTTTTCACAGATGAGAGCAGGTCCACCCTGAGCACATGTGACAGACATGAAAGGGTCTGGAGAAGCCGTGGAGAATGTTATGCTGACTGTAACATTCAGCATGACTGGTTTTGGTGGTGGGTCAGTGATGGTCCATGCAGGGACGCACAGACCTCTACAGGCTAGCCAATGGCACCCTGACTGCCATTAGGTATCAGGATGAAATCCTTGGACCCATTGTCAGACCCTTCGCTGGTGCAGTGGGTCCTGGGTTCCTCCTGGTGCACGACAATACCTGGCCTCATGTGGCGGGATTATGCAGCCAGTTCCTTGAGGATGAAGGAATTGATACCATTGAATGGCCCCCACGCTCGCCTGACCTGACCAACACTTCTTTAGGAAAGTGGGAAGTCTAAAATGGAAAGATTTGGGGGTCACTGTAGACCATAAACTCAATAATATATTACAATGCCAGGTTGCGGTAAGCAAAGCTAGTAGAATTCATTAGGAGCATGCCCTGACATTGTCAGGCATCCATGAGTACCATTTTGAATTGCTGCAATTAAATTTCAGCACAATGGACTAGCCTTCTGCATCATTTGCTCACTTTGATTTTTGGGGTGTCATTTAATTCAGCCCTCTGTAGGTTGATAATTTTTCATTTCCATCCTTTTGTTCCTAACACATTACCCCGTTCAGTATACAGTAGATATCCAGCATGGTATTTTCCCCATTGAGGTCTGATGTATTTTCAAAGTGTTCCTTTTTATATACATATAAAACCCTGCACTGCTGAGCTCCCAAGCCATTGCACTTACCATGGGTGGAATGACAGCAGCACGGTGATGTAACTGCTGCAGATCCATTGGCCCTTGCTTCATAGAGGAGGCCATTAAAATATTACCACTTGGGTTTAGCATTGAAGGTTTTGAATCAAGAGTGTACATCCTAAAAGAAAAAAGTATTAGAAAATAGACAATGTCTCATTAATTTAATGCATCGATATCAACCCATTTGCTTTTTTTGCACACACACGTTACAATCCACATTTTAGGCCTGAAAATTACTTAAATCCCTTGAGAGTTATAGATTTCCTGAAAGCACAGACCCTATAGAATAAAATGGCAGCAGTTGAAAATTTTTATGTCACGTGATATTAGCAAAACTCTTTATCAAACTCAAAATTTCTGTAAAAAATCACACAATTTAATTTTAGGGCACAACAACACAATACCCGATTTTTAGTAAAATATAAGGTTATGTTACGTACAAAGATACCCAACATGCCAAGCTTAAAAAGAGTTAACCGTGAATAATGGCCCTAAAACTACTGCGCTCACTCTGGCACGCGCAGCGCTATCGACCATTTGTAGCACACAATAGTCGTTTTCTTCTGTAGGCGAACCCAGCGTGTGTTCACAAGGACAGGGGACTTTTTGTATTTTTACTTGACTTAATTGCTATCACATGTGATAGCATATTAGTGTTGACAGGTTCTCTTTAAGGTGACATTAGGGGTCTATTAGACCCCTAATGTCATCTTTTCACTTCAAAGAAGCTATTCAAGTGCAGATCAGCCTTGAAAACCTTATTACCCGGCATCTCTATCAAGGGAATGATAGCTGAACTGATGAAGTAATGCAATCAGCGTTGCTTCGTGCTTCATTCAGCAGGGAGGAGATCAGTGAAGTCAGTCTCTCTCCCATCTACCCGCCGACACCCGTCCCATGCAAGCAGGAGGGGCAGTGGAGACCGAAAAACAAGGCGGGGTGTCCGGCTGGGAAGGTTGCACTCTTCACCGGCACCTGGAAGCAATCTGGCAGCAGCTCAGCCAACCCTTGGCTTTAATCAGCTAAACAGAGTCCCCACCGGCTATCTGTTTAGAGGGGCCCGCTGCCAGGGGCCTGTTTAGAGGGGCCCGCCAATCAATTTTTATTTTTTTATAACTTTTGGGTTGGGAAGAAAGAGTTAGAATCTTGGGTGTTTATTACGGTCTCGGTTCCCTTAAAGGGCCCATTCCCCCCATGTCCGGATCAGATGTGGTACGTTACATTTTTCTTCTGCAACAAAAATTCATCCCAATGCATTTGTATGTGATTTTTGGGCTCTGTTCACACTAGTCCTGTCCGTTCCAGTGCAGGAAAAAAAATGCTGCATGTCACATTTTTCCTGCACGGGAATGTACCAGAATCCACCCGAACGCGTCACAAACGCACTGCAACGGGACACAACGGAAACTATGACATGGAGCAGGAAGAGATTAATTTGCGTGACTTTACCCTCTAAAAAAAAAAAAAAACCCGCACTGGAATGCATCACAAACGCACTGTGTTTGCAGACACACGTGCTGATCTGGTCCTGACAATGTGTGATATGGCCCTCAGTTCAACTCCCCTCACTACGAAGTCTCCTTTTTATGGTAGGTAAAGTAAGAGAAAAAAAAGTAGACAACTCGGCAAAAAAACCCATTAAAAAAAAAAAAAGTGGGGAAGATTCAAGCTGGCCATTCTTCAGCCTATGGGCTGAAGAAAAGAAATCTAAGACTCCTCCCATCCACACGAATCTTACCTACAGGGCTTATGTCTTCTGACTGCCGACGCCAGTGGCTTTTTAGAATGCCTTAACAGTGACTGCAGCTAACTGGCTGTAGGGACTGTTCGGCTGACAATTTTCCAACCGGCTCCTTTGACGAAAGTCAATTACAAATCAACTTTTGTTGGGCCACAGCTGAAATTGTGGCTGATTCAGCAGGGCCAGCTTTTGACTGTCAGGGTTTTTTTTTTTTTTTAAGCGACCTTGAATGGAATTGCCCATTAATAGGCAGCCACTAAACATTAGAACACTGGGCTTACCTTGGCCTGTCAAGCTCTCCATCAACTTCCTCATCAGCACTGCAAGTAGCACTGGAGTCATTATCTGACTGAGACTCCACCCTTGTATGGGCAGGCATTTTGCTGGCAACATACTCTATGCCATCAGGCTCAGACTTCTCCTTCATTCTTTCCAAACCTCTGTCTTTGGTATCATCCTCTATTTTTACTTGAGCACTGTCTGGTGGCTTCACCTCAGACTCAACAGGTTCTGCTTTGGTATTCATTTGGAGGCTGGGAGATGGTTTAGGCTCTGTACTTTCATTTCTCTCCTCAACCTCCATGGCCTCCTCAGGTTCAGGATTAATCTCCTCTTTCACCTGTAGATCTGGGTACGGATTCTCAGGAGTTTTAGTATTCTGTGGCGCAGTGGTAGGGGATGCACTAGTAGCAGGCTTGCTGGCAGGTTCTTGCAATGGAGATGCAGCTGTGGTTACTGAAGCAGCAGTGGTTCTATCTGGTGTTTCTTCAGCTTGTTTGGCTCCTTCTGCAGCTGAAGGCGAAGGGGCACTCTCAGTGTCTGAACTGTTTTCAGCACCTAAACAACAAAAAAGCAATAAAAAAAAAACATTTTTAGAAGGATGTAGTATCTAATTCACAACATCCCTCAGCCACCACCTGATTTCACAACATTTTCTTAATTACTGTTCTGATATCTGCACTACAGCTACTGCTGCCAAATGCCTGCTGGTGTCCATTCCTTCCCCATTAGACTGAAAACCCTTTTGGGCAGAGTCTGAGTAGCCCGTTTTCCAAATCTGTATTTGTAAGATTGCTGTTTAAACCCCAGTATCTTCTCACTTTGCACTAGCCAGAACTCCACTCAAAAACTGTAAAGTGATCCTGTGCTTTGCCTAGTAAGAGTAAAACAGGTTCACTTTAATGTCCAAATCCTACTAGCGTACTCACCTTCTCATTACTCCTTACCGATTTTTATGTGGCTGCCCAGAACATGAGACTTTCTCTACTTTCTCCCAACACTCAGAGCTAGGCCAGGAGTAGGGCTGCAACCAACTAATCAATAATAATTGATAATGAGAATATTTGTCAACTATTCTCATTATGCATTAGTTGACTGGATCCCCTAGCTACCTCCACCATGCTGGGGAGGAGGGCACAGCAAGTGGTGGGCGGGTGCAATAGCTAGCCTGCTATTGCAATTTGAAATTGGCCGATAGCAGGCTGGATATTGCACTAGACCACTACCTGCTGTATTTACATTCAGCTGCCATCTGCAGAATCTTGCCACTGGCAGCTGTCATTCCCTGGCTGAAGCTATTCAAGCGCCATGTGCTTACAATACAATTATTCAACAATTATTATAAAAGGTGGGGAAAAAAGTCACTTGGTTGCAGCCTGACAAATTCTGCTGCAGGAGGTGAGTTTGCAGTACCATTTATTTCAACGGCACCCCAAAGGCGCCTCCCACCCACAGTGTGATCACCCGCACTGGAACTCACGGTACCGCAATGCTGCAGTGCGATTGCAAAAAAATTGTGCATGCAGTTTTATTCTAAAGTAAACTTTATGTTTGTAACACTGCATTTGTGTATTTTATTTTAAATTAAGGATGGTATTTTTTTTTATCCGATTAAACAAAAAGAATAAATAGGCCAACTAATCGATTATGAAAATAATTATTAGTTGCAGATCTAGTCAAGTTGACTATCAGCACTGGTACACAAGTGGAGCAGTCCTTGAAACTTATACAAGCCAACTTTACCGCATGTAAGAGCACTTATTGATTTGCAGGCAAAAATATTTTCAATTTCAGCCAGTGTGTCAAAACTTGGTCATGAGGAAATTTAAAGGTCTACTACAGAATCAAACTTTGCCTCTCTCCAGCCCAAACTTTATTTTATTTGCTAGATTCCTTCTTAAAGAGGCTCTCCAAAACTTTTTTGAAAAGACCGAGGAGGCAGTGGGTGGCTAAACCTGCACAGCCCTAGAAACAGGGCTGCTGGGCAAGATTGTGTTCCCAGATGACCAGCTGAGACAACCCACCTCCTTGCCTGATATCACTGGCACATCAACTAAACTTGCTGCCAAGTTTGGCTGGTTAACTAGCCAAGATGGTAGCAAACAGAAGTCATACTAAGGGGTATGGTAGTGTCCCCTGTCTACCACCAGACCTACAGTGGCATTATATAAAAGCCAGGGATGTTAAAACCTCAGAACATAGATCTTTTTTAAATGGAGGCACTAGCAAAACTTAGAGGTCAACTCAATGGAGATTTTCAATTGTTATAATAATAAAGAAAACAAACAATGAGTAACAAATGAAAGCTAGTACCTTAACTCTGAACATCTCAGCCCTTAATTCCTGCTTTTGTCATTTTAACTTTTAGGAACTGCTCATATTTAGGCACCTTCACAATGTGCTCAGTGAAAAGTGCACCAGAGCTACCAGGCTACATTGGACATGACTGTAATAGGACAAGCCAGGTTTTACTACACAGCCTATAACCAAAATCAGGTTTTACATAGGTGTGGAGAAGTCAATTCCTAGATGAGAATATTTTTTATAGATTACCCAATATATTTGGGTTACCTTGAGGTGCATTTATCAGAATGTTTTTTAGAGGCTGCTGGAACCCTTTTAAATCCAAACAAGTAATTCAGAAGTTTTCGAACAACAAACACATCCTAGAATCATACCATTTATAATTACACAAAAGCTTCACTGAATAAAACCCTTCAAGGGAAAATAAACTGAACGGGCAGTGAATCCTTTTAAAACACTATAATTTAGTCAAGCTGATATTGCTATGTTCACATTAACAACTTCCAGATCAATTTAAAAAAAATAAAACAAAATACCTTCACTATCTTCAGGATTCTCTTCATCATTGGAATTGTCATTATCATTATCCTCATCTTCCTGGGCAGAAACTGTGGATGCCATGCTTTCACTCTGTGACACATCTCGCTCTTCTCGTGGCTTACGAGGAGACTGTAATGCAAGCAGGACAGAAAAGCATTGTTGTAGTGCAAGCTTCAATAATCTAATCAGAAAGGCAACGTGATCTTAGTCACTGGGCTGTAAAAGGAGTAGGACTGAACAATGCACAAGTACTAGTTTCTCCTACCAAGTAGTTATTATGCTGGATGGCAAATTGCACAGTGCAGAATTCTGCGTCTCTGTCCACCAAACCCCTTTATCACGCTGACAGCATAGCTTGCACAGGGCAAAAGAGGGGACATGCCAATTACATCACCGGTGCATTTGTTGTGTTATTTAGGGATTTACACCCGCTCAGCAATATCATCCTGAGGAAACCTGGACACACACAAGAACAGACACTCAAATCTTTGCAAGTGTGCTGGTAACTTAGAGGCATATGGATGTCATCATTTAATTTAAAACATGTTTTGAAGAAAAAGATGTTGGACAATGAAGAGGGGTTATTAGGCAAACAGCCATTTTCTCCCACAGTACCCAATAAGGTAGGCGAGAATCATTACCAGGATTTAATGGGGGAAGAATGAAGAACTGCACACATAGAGGAAACATGTGGCTACAAGAGTTAAGATATGTAAAAGACACACAGAGTACTGGTGGTCACATATCAAGAGGTGAAGTAAAATCTTCATATGGAGACGCTTAATCTAGCAACCTAGAGGGGATTTCCCCTCAGTTTAGTGCAACCTTCTGTTCTGTCTACAGGACAGAATGTGAAAGGAAATCTGCTGAAAACAGACGCAGGCAGGAAAAAGAAAAAACTGGTAGGGTTTTACCCATCACCTACTCCAGTGGTTCTCAACCTTTCTAGGGCCAGGACCCCTTGGTAACATTTGCCAAGTTGTGGTGACCCCCAACGGTAAAATTTAGGGATGCCGCGGCTGCTGGAGCGACATCTGGTGGCGTGGCGGGAGAACTGACACTGCTGCTCTAGGAGAGGGCTGAGGACTCCTCTCACCTTATTATTGTTTATTTTTTATAATTTTCTTATTTTTTAATATTTGTTTCTTATTTCTTTTTAATCGCTTTTTAATTTTTTTAATTCACTTTTATCCATTTTTTCTTCCACTTAACTTCATTGCTATCACACAGAGGTAACAAGCCCCTGTGTAATAGCAATTGGAGGTGACAGGTTCTCTTTATTGACCCTGTCACCTCCAATACAGGAGTCCTAGAACAGCACTGTGCTGGAACTTCTGTGACAGGTGAGCGGGGAAGAGTGCTATCCCCTCTCACTGTGCACACGGAGCGGCAGGTTTACTTTTTAACCTGTCGGGGGAAAAAAAAAAAAAGGTTTAGTCAGCTCGATGAGAAAGTTTTTTTTTTCTGACTGACGGTGGGCCCGATGTCAGGAAAAAAAAAAGAGCAGAGACAGCGCTTCTCTCCTGGGTGGCCGGAAGCCGCTAGGCGACCCCTGGCAAATAGTCATTCGACCCCCGACGGGGTCCCGACCCCCAGGTTGAGAACCACTGACCTACTCAAAAATAAGGTTTTAGCTATAGATACACATTAAGGTCAGCCAAGGCATACAATTTTATTTGGGATCATTTAAAGTGGAACAAAGCTCAAAACTAATACATTCTAGGAGGTAAGCATTAAGGTAGAAGGGACTTTCTACATATCTTTTCTTTTTTTTGTGTACACTGTCTGTAGCACAGTGCAGTGTACAATCCAAGCCCATTCTCAGCATCTGTAAGATGGCTGACACGCAGGTTTTACATAATCGCATCACTCAAAGGCCAAAAAGGGAAGATGGCAGAAACCATGATGGCTGGGTGAGCGATAGTAGACAGAGATAAGTCTGCCATGATGTGCATGGTGCCCTGCGAAACAGCTCATATAGTCACTTCACAGACGGCCTGTGTCTCCATTACAGCGCTGCAGCCTCTGCAAGTCTCTTTGGTATTCAACACTTCTGGGAATGTCAGTTGTCTGTGCTCTATGCTGTTTTAAGGTTTCATTATCAATCATCACTGTTGGGTCCTGCAGTGATGCAGGGGGTCAGAGGATGAAACTATGGCACATGGTGGTGTACAAAGTTTCTGACACTCACAAAATGTTGAATGCTGAAGAGGCTTATGGAGGATGCAGCGCTGGAATTGAGGGAAGGAAGAGAGACACAGACCATCAGAGAGGACACCCTTTTTTTAGGATTGTTTTGCCACCCTGGAAGGGTTTCATCTTACTGAAGTAAACAATTGTGTGGAGGGTGAAAATAGGAGTAAATATGTAACAGAACATAACATAACAGGAGCAACTAAAGTTTTTACTTCAAAATGACAGCCAAAACACCAGGATAAGGATCCTTATTGTTAAAGTGAGCAATATGCAGTTTTGTCCAAAGATATGTGAAAATTAGTCACATGACTGAAAGATCATTATCCTTTAAGGAAACGACCGTATTTTGCACTCCAGAAGCTGCAGTTCAGTGACCGCTGAGACAGGTGGCGCTGTGATTACAGCGACGCGTTCTCAGTAATCACACAGAGCAGACGAAGAAAAGGGGCTCTATGGTGAGCTCCTGTGCTGTGGTCACGGTCTCCCAGTGGAGCGGGGGACCCCAGAGACGATCGCCGCCACCGCTCGATTTAATACAAGTTATATAATTAGATCACGTGTATTAAACGAGCGGCGGCTCCCACTGTACATTCAGCTCTGCTTGTCAGGAGCAGGGCTGAATGTACAAAAAAACTACTCGCCCGGCGCTCGAAACTGCATGTCCAGGGCGTCGGGCAATGGGTATTCGCTCCATAAGACGCAGGCACATTACCCACCGCCTTTTGGGGGGGAAAAAAGTGCGTCTTATGGAGTGAAAAATACGGTACATGAATTGAACCTACTGTCTCTTATTTATAGAAGATTTCTAGGCCAATAAGACTACAAAGTAAAAAAATTATTTATTTTAGTTTAAAAAAATGTGCAACTCTGCTCAGCCATGCTAGTGATTCATTAGTAGCTACCAGACTGTATAGCAGGTTAACAGAAGAATCGAAGAGAGGATGCTTCCACTATTGGAAGCATATGCAAGTACCATCTCCAACCCCACTTCAGTTTGCTCCCTGCAGGCAAGAGCCAATACATGCACTCTTTCTCAGGTAAGCTGTTCCTCTTCCATAAAGAGACTAAGGGATAATATGCCCTCTCCATATCAAAGTTAGGTAGAGAAGATGTAATCTTTACATAATATTCTACACTCCAAAAGGCTGGCTTATAATGCAAGACTCTCCTGATGTCAGCAGATTTCACATTTCAGCTGGCATACAAAAGCATCATAAAGGTGGTAAAACATTTCAGGTAGAAAAACTAGAAACTAGTAACACAAAATTAAATTGCAGGGCTTTATTTTAAGATTGATATGGAATGCTTCAGCAAAAGAGATTACTGTACATATCTTCTGCGACAACATATCCTTTGTATTGGATAATTTCACAATTTCTATTATATCCATTTAAATTAAATTCTTATGGGAGTTTGCGTTGGAATTATTATATCTGGGATAACAATATGGAAACGTAAGGAAGTCTGGCAGGTACAGGTTAACAAGTCTAACTGATTCAATTCAGCAATACTCACTTTCTGTTTGTGCTGTTGCAGCAAGTTGTCCAGGTTGTGCTTCCTTTTGTAATTGAAGTAGAAGTTTTTACACTGAGCTTCACTCTTCGTTCCTACCATCTTGGCGATGGCCCCCCAGTTACGACCGTGTTCCACCAAGCCTGCCAAAACACAGACCAACGGGAACTGAATGAATTAAAGGAAACTAGTACATTCTTTCAAAATTAGAAAAGCACAAGATCACATTCAGTACCCACAAGGCAAAAGGATTAATCAATTTAATAAAACATGTTGAAAATTAGGGCAACTATGAAAGCTCAACACAGGACAATTAGCTAGAGGATAGGAAACAAAAATTAAAAATGTCTTGGGTGCATCCGGATAGTCAACCTTTTGGCTTAAAACATCACAAGTAGAATGTCTCGTGCTTGTGCAGCAGCCTGACACCACCTATAGACAGTAGATGCAGTCAGAGGCTTCCAAAGATCCATCTTCTGAATGAGAAACACATTGACAAGCATGCTTGATATAACCTACAAGCATAAGTGCCATTGCAGAGCTACTCTAACTCACAAGAATAAAAGCCTGTCTGATGAAAGTAAAAATACCACTCAATACATTCTTCATCTGAAGAAGGTTCTCAGAGGTATGCGATAACCCAGACTCTGCTTACGTATTGCCATAAAATACCATGATTAGGGGGAAGACCAATTAACATCTGTATGTAGCTTTACACAAGACTGAGCTTTCCAAGTCATGTCATACAGTACTGAACACTCTCAGTTTTATTCCTCTAACACCAGGTTGTGAAAACAAAAGCAAACATTCACTTTGGGATCCATTAAAGTATACAATTTGTGTGTGCAATCTAGAGATAAGTAAATGCATAGCAATGCACTTCACTTACAAGGTATAGAAGTATTATGGGCTGTAGTTAATGAGCCAGTGAAACACCAGGATTTGGAATCCACTTGGGTCATTCTGCATGTATGTGTCCTAAAGATCTGTAACTGTTTAGTTTTGAAGACAATGAATGCCAAGAGTCCACTGGTCCACCTACCACTTCCCCTGAGCTTACTAACTTTGGCACATGTACTACCTATTAATGCACTGGACCCTTGCTAATCAATAACAATGTAGTAACACGAAGGAGTACCTGATCCTGCAACAATTTGGACCATAGTTTACATTTAAATCAATGACACAAGTCAACTCCAACCACTAAGGTATAATGTAGCTTACAGAGCACCATTATAACTGCATGGTTGGGGCCAAAAGCAAGCTTTCCTTTAATTAAATATGATATTATAGCGTCCAGATAAACAAGAGAGGGCTGCGATACCCTTTTTAGATCAACACCCAGACATTTACAATCCATGCAAACAATTTGAAAATGACCGCAATGGCTTTGCAGAGGCCAACCCTGAAGAAATAATTCCTCCTAGTGGGTACTGGGAAGAGTCTCTTTGGAATGTGTGATTGTTCAGTCGTGATGTGTTCTTAAAAAAACAAAAAAACATACAACAAGCCCTTCACCATACATAGGGACTCTGTGGAAGAATGCCTCAACTGGTAATGGTTACAATCCGTTAACAATAGTGTTAGTAGACTACAAAAGTTAGTAAAGTATGAATACTGCAGCTGGTTCAAAGTGAATATTTTTTTCCAAAGTAATAAAGCTAATAATCACAGAAGTGTATGCAAAGTAATAAAACTAATAATCACAGAAGTGTATGCACCACCCCGAATAAAAAAAAAAAGCTAAAAAGTCAACTGAATTGTTTAAAAACGTATAATCCGACCCCAAGAGCAAATTATTTCAGTGATGTGCATTAGCACTTTCGTAATCCCTAAATGGCTTCAGTCTTCTGGCTCTTTACAAGTTTTGCAGATGAAGCAATTTGCAACAAATAATTTTGCATTTGTAGTCCATATTAAAATACTGCATTTTTTTTCTGGCCAGGGTCTGCACATGAATTCCGGAATACACCACAGCATTCTGCCTCAGTACTACTCTCAGCAGCCCTCATGCAAGCTGTGGGCTAGCTCTTGGGTGGAGTTAAGCAAATATCTAAATGCCTTCATAGGTGCGAGTCAGTTTGGAGGAGTAGGTGCTCTTAGGAAGACTTAATTTCCATGTGGACAGCCTTAGGTAACACACACCTGTGATGCTCAGCCTCCATCATGCAAAGAACTAAAAGCCAATGAATGAAAGGGGCAGATACAGTTGGGATGGGGGAGAAAAGAGCTAGATAATTCTGGCCATCCTCCAGACAGAAAAAAAGCTGGGCTCCATTTGATTTTCTGCAGCTTCTAATGCACACCGTGAGAAGCTTACACTATGAAGAGACATCAGATGAAGCTATTTCAGTCCAGACAATGGGCCTGTACAACTGTGCAAAAGTGAAGGTAAGGATGGACTTCAGCTTTAAGAAAGACCTGATTTCCAGAACATTAGTATAATAATTACAAGTTTCATATTTGGATACTATTAAGTATGGAAAAATCTGTCATGAATTTATACAGGTGGCAAGGCTTTCTGGTCCCCAAATCAGCAACGAAGGACTAATCTATTTGTCAAAACACAATTATGGCCAAATCTGAACAAGTCAGAGTGAACTTCTAAAGTGTACAGGGGAAATAAAGAGAAAGCAAAAAAAACAAAGCAACAGCTGTGTAGGCAACAAAATCAGAAGTGCAATGGCTGCATAGACTACCAGACTTGGTCACTGTATGAATGAGTCCATCATGCGGCTTACCAATATTAATGTAAATATGAAACCATTTCTAGACGTAGCAAGATTACCAGATTTAAGCTCGGTATAGTCCGTGACTTGGCCATTGTCGCTTATGTTTTATTTTAACATTTGATTTTGGAATGCATGGAGTTTCGTTTCCTGAACACAAACCAAGAAGTTTTCTCCAACCTTTGAAATTTGGCATTTCTAACTTGATCAACAGTTTGACCCCCATTAACTAGTAAAAAATAGTCTGGTGATTAGCATATTGAATCTACGGCAAAATATCTTAACACTGAACCCAAAAATTCTGAAGATGGGGTTTTAGTAATAAACTATAAATGTTTGAGGTAACTTTAAACTTTAGCAGTGACAAAAGTCAACAAGATGGAAAATACACATACACTGCTTAGATTTGCGAAAGAACTTTCATACGAAAAAATGTTCGTTGGACTTTCTATTAGTTGATGGGCTCAAATTGACGCACATAGTGAGGAAAAAACTCGAAGGAGCGGATGGAAATTTTTTCTTGATGAATGAAATTCTAACAGTGGCTGTGGCTTTCGCTCAGGAAACGCCATTCATTCCAAAATCAAAAGGAAATTTCGATCGACCTTTGTCAAGTGTCGGATGGAATTATCGGGTGGTAAAGAAAGATCTTTCCTACGAATGTTCGTATGCAAATCTACTAGTGTATAGCCAGCTTTAGTTAGACAATGCTTCAACACCCTTTAGTTAACATATGAAGAATGGAAAGTGGAACGTAAAGATTTTTATATGCTACCAAGAGCTTTTGCACTGCCATTCTTCTATTTTAGTGAAAACAATCCCCTGGGCGATGTTGTCATTGGAGAGACAAGGCTTCTGAATATTACCACAGGCTGTCAGTTCTCTTTCCTTTTTGTTCTGCTCACCTGAAATGAACTAGAACCATGTCAAGCCCTACAAAAACCTCCAATGCTCTGATAATCACACTGTGTGGCTGCATTAGCAGAGGATTATTAGAGTCATTCTAGGTAAATACTTTTTACCTTCTCTATGGAGGTCAGAGCTGCTTACAAGAGTAATTGCACCCACACACACATTTCGCCATTCTCCCGCAAAAGAAAAAGCTGAAATATCAGTTAGACTAAAACATTTTAAAAAAGGTCCATTTATAAAACTTTTAGTCATGTTCTAAAACAGAAGAAATTATATTTTGATATCACTAGTTCTAATTATGTTTTACGCACTTCAGAGCTGTGCTGTGGCGTAATCAAAGTCTTTTCATGCAGCATTTTAACAACCATCCTGTTAAAATGTCTTCCATGCTGGTAGCTCTGAGGAAAAGCGGCAGGACATTTTTGACCCAGGTGTCCCACATAATAGCATTAAAAAGGTCCTGAAAAGAAAACTGTCACTAAAGAAATATGGGCGATTCCATTGCAGGTTGATTTTTTTTAGGATGCAAAAGGAGCTGTTCTTAGTCTTTCTCCATTTGACATGTCAATGATTCTGAACATTGATGTGTATGTAAGGTGTCCTGATACCTTACTTGCTGTATGCTGGTCAGGGGCTCCGTGGAGCAGCAAAGATCATAGATGATAGTCACAAAGCTTGCGCCGTGCATGCAACACTGCAATGGCAGCTCCCATAAATCTAAGCTGACAGGTTTACATACAAGTACAGACAGCATGCATACACACATAATTATAAACATTTACTGATAATAAAGTGCTAGCAGCAAGTTAAACACAGAGATGAGCAAACTCATTTGCAGATTAATATAAATTCATTAAATAACTGATTTGGGTACATAAGTTTGCTTAATTAAAGATATGTAAACAATATGCATGTGATCGATCAACTGTGATCCAAACTGACTTGCTCATCTCTAGGTAAATGTCCAGAAAGCAGAGAAAAAAAAAAAAAGCGCAAACATCTGTGAATAAAACATGCATACTGGCAATGTTAGCCAATGTATATTTCTCTCAAAAGAAAATACAGAGCACTGAGGACTTTCAAGCACTGAGCGCATGTAAATATGCAAGTTTATCTAAAGTGTCAAAATTCCAAGCAATATGGAAGCTAGAATCCTATAGTTCACATGCCTTTCCATAGAACACAAATAAAGTTTAAAATTGCTTACAATATAAGGTTTTTCTGGATTATGGAAAATTTACCCTACACGTTCTTTTCTTGTCCCACTGCATACAGATCTGTATTTTTACTCAGGCAACAATAGAAAATGCACTTGTAGAGGATCCTGGGGATTAAACTTGAAAGCACAGCTTCAAGTAAGGGCACCCCTAGGATTGGAGCATGGGCAGCCGATGCCTATGAGGAACATGCAGTCAAGAGCCCCTGATAAAGGCAAGTGGTTAAGAAGTTCACAGAATATTTCCCCCACCTTTTGCCATACTCCTAACATAGTGTCCTGATGCGATAGTTTCCGTTTACTGAAGGCTCAAGTTAGAAAAGGTGCTTGAGAGAAAAGTTGGGTTGTGCAGTTGGAATGTGCTTGTATGTCCAACAGTACTTTAATGCCTATGGCCGCCTTTTATTACCGTGGCTGGTCTATAGACATTCAAATATATACATATCCTTAACAGGCAGTAAATAAGCTTTAAAACATACCCAGACCTCTTTAGCTGCAGACACTGTGGAGCAAAATCATACTGAACATTTACATGAGCAGAGGTGAAGTGATTTGAGTCGGGTCTTGGTACTCTGCTCTCCCCTCTTCTTGTGTGCTTGCTCTGTTTGCATTACACATTAGAAAGCTGCCAGGGCACCAAGTCATTGCTGAGAGAAGGTAACCGGTTGAGCTGTTTAGCGGAAACTAAAGTACTTCCTGATGTAAATTTTAAATAGGGATGCACAGATACCAGTGCTGATACTTGGCATTTTCACAAGAACTACCCTGGGGTTCCACCACTGTCCTGAAATCATTAGTCTGTATTGTTTTAGTAAAACAGTCAAATGAAGAAAAAAAAAAAAGATAGATATCAGTAATTAGTATCTGTGAGCACTTTGGACAAATATCAGTACTTGTAATTGGTCTGGAAAAATTGTATAGTTGCATCCCACATTGTCTTTAGCTAAAGAGGTCAGTAGGGGATTGTTTTAAAGATTATTCACTCCCTGTCAAGAATATATTGAATTAAAAGTCCATAGCCTAAGCACAGCTCTTAAGACTAACTTTGGACATAAAACGGCAGACAGAAGATCCATCTTCTACAACAATTGTGTAGAACAACTATGCCAAAAACACATGCATATATGTCTATGCATTGTACAGACACCACTGGTAGAATGCCCAAACAAATAAAACGGTCTCATGATTTTACCTTCATCAGTGGAAAGGAATACAAAATACCTCACATGTATGGATAACTTAACAGCTGGCATGTACAGACAGGGTTCAAAAGAGGTCAAATCCACTTTAACACCCTCCAAAAACTCCTTCACACCCAAGGTAGAAATACTGTACACAATCAAATAAATCAGCATACTTTCAACAAATGCACTGTCTGGTTATATTTGATCTTAGATTATGGTTTGTTTGAGTGTTCATCCTGAAGGCCCCATCAGAGAAAGTCCTCAGTGCAAGGAAAAATACAGACCCAAACCCATTATAGCAAAATGCTCTCCTGCACCTATTGCATGCATATTTTAGTGGATCGGGGGCCTGAAGAGGACCATTCTTCAGAAATGGGGAAAACAAGAGACAAACATACCAACTTCACAAGATAAAAACCCTTCTTCCTAGCAAGGCAAAAAAAGAAAAGGCTGCATCTATCAGTAGTTATAAAAAAGAAGCTTCCCTTCAAGGGGAAGGGCTTATACCACAGAATTGTCCCATGCATGGAGAGGAAATTTTCCATGATCCTGGAGAAGCACTTTAAAAGTGCGGATAGGGCATTTACATTCTCACATGTGAGAGAAGGGTAAAAAAAAAAAATGCAAAAGGTGTTTTATTATCAAATTGTTCACAAAGGATTCTAGCTTGTGTTTAATTATTACAGAAAATGCTTAGGACCGCAGAAATAGTTATTGTAGCAGCCCAAGACATAGTTATGGTTATAACTAATAAGAAAGAAAAGTTTTGTAGAGTTAAAAGCCTGCATATTTTGGACTTCTGCACTTTGAGAGAAAAAACAATTTATAACTTTATCAATGTTAAGCAAAACGTAAGCACAGCAGTAGTAGTACATAAGAGTACAGTGCCCCAATGCAGCTAAACAAAGCTGTCAACACTATATGTGGCCATGTGACCTGCAACTAACCAATGACTGGGCTGCCCCAATCACTCCCAATTTTTTGTAACCATTAAGTGTAGAAAAATTAGGCCTGTGACTTTTCAGCAAACACACGGCCACTTATAGTTTAACATACGTTGCAACCATTCCTAACAGCAAATAAAATGCCACAACTACAATACTGAACAACACACAAAAACAAAAAAAGAAAATCAGCTACATTAGCAGCAGCTACGTCTTACCACAGAAACCAAACTTAAAATCTTTACCTTGTTTAGCAACTTCCATTTCTTCTTCAGTCCAGCGGGAGGTCTCCACGGTCTCTGCAGAAGCTGAAAGCACAACACAGCAAATCCCATCAAAAAGAAAGACCTGGATTTGCATTATGAGCTCCAATCCTACAAAGCCCACACTCAGTGATCCATTTATGTGCAAGCTTCCTCCGTAAAAGCCATTCGAGGGGAAAGCTGCCTGTGGTGCTAGGAGGCTGTCACTTCTGATAATGACAAGGATAAATGACAAGCCAAAAAAAGACCTGAGCGTCAAAGTTACTGATGAACTGAAACCATGAGCAAAAAAACAATTCCATGCAGAAGAAAAATACTGCACAATGGGAGTAATGGACTACAACACCAAACCATAAATGCATGGATGATTCCTGCCACCAGGTACATTCTGTAAAAGTATTCACCAATATTCTATGTGAGCTAACCAATCTATTCAGAGTAGCTAAATTAAAACACAAGGTACCTCAAATAATTTATTAAGGTCTACAAATGTGTTTAAATGTTTTTAGACTTAGAAAAACCAGTATGGTTTTTATCAAATGAATTATATAGCCATATTTGTACTGGTTCATGGCCATCCCTGTAATCCTAATATGGGCGGTTTCCTTTTACTTAGTTACTGCTATATCCCTATTGGAATATTGCCCATCACTTCCTATCGATATGCGCCAGGGGAAGGATTAGAGCTTCTAACAAGATTTGTTGCGCAATAATAAAAATAATTAAACAAATAAAAGAGATGGGGCTGTATACTGTGAATAGTACAGAACAGGAATCCATGACAGCACCTTTGACAATAATCAATCCATAATCTATCAAATATATATTAAGAAGGCTGACATGTCAAGAAGTGTTTTCAGGGACCCCTGACAAAATAAAAAGTGTTCTATTTACAAACTATTTAAAGCAGAACTAAGGTTAATTTTTTTAATGCAAACAATTGCAAATTAAAAATAATGGATACATGTACACTTGCAAAAGTATGTTTTTGTGGCTTTTCCAGAATGTTACTCAGGTGCTGTGCAGGCAGCTAGGTAAGTATGTGTTGAGCTCCACAGGCTGCACAGCTCACAGATGATAGGCCACTTAGTATGCTATTAAGTATGTCATTAAGCTCCTATATGTGCATAAGGAGCAGAGTGCATAACTGCACACAACATTGTAGCTCCATCCAGTTCTACTTTCTGTTCCGCCTTTTCTTTTGACAAATAATTAAGTGGCTGATCAAGGGAGGAAAAGTGTGGGTGGGTGGATACAACACCCTATTATATGTCCATTTCCAATCAAACCATTAAAATAGTTTCTACAGAGAAATTCTTGTGATAGAATGATTACATAACTTCCCTCCCATAAGAATAACACCTTCATCGTCCCCCACTAACTTTAAGAATCAGACCTTACAAGATAGTATATAGATAATATGAAACCTGTATAACGCAAAAGGAAAACAAATTTCAAGTAGTCTTTAACCTTCAATTTCAGAATGTTTGCATTAAAAAAAAGAAGACGAAGAAAGAAAGAAAAAAAAAAAAGGTATATAGGCAATCTCAACCTTTGGGTTATATTGCCATCTACAGGAGGAATGGACACTGGCAACCCAAAAAAACTGTAGGCCAGCCCCTCCTAGCATGCCTCAGTTTTGCAGCAAAACAATATCAAATGCATGCTCAAACAACAGAGGGGTAGGACATGTGTCCCTTGGACGACGCCAAGAAAAGGATTTTACGTAGCGAACAAAAATTGTATTTTCTTTTTAGTCAATTGAGGGACCCAGATAATCTTCTTCAGTCTCTGAAACAAAATGGAAAGTGCAAAGACTTGACCTTTGATTGTGCTAAAAGCCAAACGTTGGTCAAGACCTAACTGCAGGAAGGAGAGAATACAATGAAGAAGATCCTGGGGTGGATGTCCCAAGACACTTTGGATCCACAAGGATTCCCTGTTAGACCTTACAGGAAGTGGACTTCTTAGCCTTGAGCATCATAGGAATCAGAGAACCGGACACCCCTGTCCCTCAGAACCTGGGCTACAGCAGTCATGCCGTTACAGGCAGCAACCAAGAAGCAAGATGGCAAATCCTGCTAGATCTGAATGATCTGGCAAAGAACATGGTGTGTCTACTGTAAGTCTTACCAGGGCCAACCCAGAATAATGAGAATCAGTTGAATGCAGATCATGCAAAACAGACAAAGTTTCAGGGGAGGAAAGGCATAGATCGGGCTGTACTAATCCCACGGAGCCACCAGGGCATCCACTGCCTCTGCCAGTGGATCCCTGCACCTGTATAAATTTACAAACCTGCCCAGATTGCCTATGAACCTGGCCTCCAGGTTTAATAACAAACCCTTCTGGCAACACAAATGTTTAGTCTAGCCAATATGCCCTATACATATGTACAGACGAGACAAGTGAGAAATAAGGCGAGACGCTTCTAGTAAGCCTTCATAGCTAAAATTTAGCTCTACAGCCATCTGCTCTGTTCAATGAACAGAGGATCAGCAGAGATCCATTTTAAGGGATTTTGACACACATGGTTTGACATAGTAAGTCACAGCCAGAATAGGGTGTAGGCCAGGATGTTCCTGAAAAAACAGTTCAGGAGAGAATTTCCATTTGCTTTTCGGTTGTGTCCTTTAAAGTACGTGCATTCTGCACCAGTACGACAGTCATCTTGTTAGGGCAAGACACAGTCATAAACTTGTGGGGAAAAAAAATACACACATGTACAACGCCAACATGAAACACCAGCAAGTGCTTAGGAGGAGCAAACTACTATGGAGATCTCTTCCGTTCTTCGTACAGAAACAGCTGGAAAAATTGGGTGACAAGGGAAAGTACTGTGTATCCTTTAGGGGTCCTATGAGACCCCAGTCTAGAAACCGTGCTGGTAGAAGGAACAGGCTGATTCTCAATAAAGTTGACCTCCAAGATAAGAAAATATTGTTTATATATAGAAGGCATGTGTGTTCTTGGGGTTCTTTGTGTATTTCTTCACATTATGTGCAGTTATTGAAACCTCGCCTTTGTGCAGAAGCTTCCTGTAACTAACACCGGTCACTGCTGCTCTCACTCCTTGTGCAGAATAAATGGTCTTTCATTTGCCCCTACTCCAGTATTCTACAGCCACCTTGTAGTGGGTGAGCATGTTGGGTCCCTCCCACAGCTCTGCGCAGGCTATGTGCTACGCAGTGATGATGTCACTGCTAAAATAACTGGGTTTGCAAAAGCAATTGGTGCACACAAAGTGGATTTATTGATAATTATATTTAGAAAAAAGTTTTCACGCTCAGAGTTCAGCTTCAATCTGAAGATAATAGCAGAAGACAGACTCCTCAGGGACAAAACTCACCTGACAGGGATTGTCCTCTGAGGACTCTGTACCAGGCAGTCTCTGTGACCAGATTTACTTAAGCTGGAGTAATTTGGGTCAAAGTCTTCCATGACCATAGCAAAATCTTCAGCTGAGGCTTGGGTGTGGTGAAGTCCAAAAGCCAGGAGGAGGACAACCATACCAGACAGCTGCAAATCAGAGGGAAAACCTCCAGTAGTGTAGAGAAGAGTCTTGATTAAAGAAATATTTTAAGAAAAGCCTGTTAAGTTAGCTTGCTCAAAGTCAGTCTGTAAAACAGCAGAGCTGAACAAAAGACATTAATCCTTCTAGGACACTAGCAAAAAAACTCTGCTCCGTCCAGTCCAATCCTTCTGAAGGTGGCAGTACAAACCGAAGGTTAAGACTTCCTCTGTCTCTCAATATATGATGAAAAAAAGAAGTGAAAAAATAAAAAAAAAGGGAATTTGTGACACTGGCATCCTTCAAACATTTAAGTATCACCCTAGTGTGGACACTATGTCAGACACTTTTTGTCTTTGGTCTAATCTTACTGCAAAAAGGAATAAAGTATCACATTTACGATGTTGTCATGAGCTTAATGTAATTAACAGCACATAATAGAAAAAAAATCTTAATGTTCATTGGCCAAAAGAAAGAAAATCCTCCATTGTATAAAAATCCTAAAACTAAAAATGCTGTGTTCAGTAACCAAGTAGTTTGAGAAGTAGAAAAGCAAACAAATGGATACATGCAACTAGTACAGTGACTCTCCATCTGAAAGACAAATCATCAAAACAAAGAGAATGTGATGGAGACAAACATGTAGTAACACAAATGACTTGACAACCAAATGACTTAACCCTAACCCAACAAGTAATATGTAGCAGAGGCTCTATTCTACTTATATGACAAAGACCTACTTCCCAAATAACACAAAATAAAGCTGGATAAACCCAATTTAAGTAGGATTTTAAAGGGAAACTGCAGGAAAAACACAAAAAAAAACCTTTGAATTTGAAGGTAATCCTTTCATGTTAAAATTTAAGCAAAAACCTTTTCATATGCAATGAGGAAATATGCATAGTAACATGAGGACACTTTTCCTTGTAAATCCCAACAGAGACCTCAGATGCAGCACAGACACACTCCCCCACTGCCCCATTCTCCATCGCACTGTGCAGTTTCTACATATTTTTTTTCTTCTGCTGTGCATCCGTGCTGCAGTACAAAAGTGCAACTACAGATTCGCTAGAGATTAACAAGATAGCTGAAGAGGATGGACAGGGTAACGAATTGTTAATAGAAAAGTGAATCTGTGCTTTAAGGTCAATATTACACAAACACAATGAAAATAGACTAATTGTTTCCCTTTGAAAGACACCCAAATTAAAACAGTGGTAGCATAGGCACAAACTTAAATGTAAGCAACACATTACAAATGGTCAGTGTCTAGAAACGAGCAAAAACACCGTCACCTAGGTTAGAATCTAGCCTTAGTGCTCTGGTGTGGCTTTTTTTTTCTTTTGAAGCACTTTTAGTGATCAGCTGTCACATTTGCCTATATTAAGAGGGCCTGTGGCAGGGGTGTCCAAACTCCAGCCCTCCAGCTGTGGTGGAACTGCAAATCCCATGAGGCATTGCAGGATTCTCACAGCTACAGACATGACTCCCGGAGAGAGATGCATCACGGGATGTGTAGTTTTAGCCACAGCTG